CGCTGCACATCAAGCCGGCGCCTTATCAAAGCAGTCTCCAAAACCGAGACATTGAATCCCCCATGTCGAGTGTAATTACTATCCTATGGGGGGTGCAAAGATAGGTTATCGCCATATAACTCACGTTCTTGAGCATCAAGATTGGAAGCAATGACAAAAAAATCAGAGTGAGTATATGGTTCCCGATGATAGGCTTGTAGGCAGATGTTAGTAGCAGCGAGGCCACACAGATTCGGTGGAGGCCGGTCAGGGGGATTTTCTACAGAATCTCTTACAGGCCCCTTGCCAAGTTCATCCTCGGACGGTCCCTTTCCATCATCCCTCCTATTTTGTGTTAGCCGCGTTGCAGAAAGATCTGCAGTCGAAGAGCGTTGCAGGCATGGTAAGGACGCTTGGGGCGGCAAAAGACGGGGACGGGATGTTGGAGGGCCGTGGTGGGGAGAATGAACGAATTCTTCTTCGTCCAAGAATAGAGATGGAGGAAAGGGGAGTAAGGTGAGGCTGGGAAGTAGGTCGAAACCGACGTCTAGGACGAGGAAGTGGGTTTTCTGCAGGGGAAGAACATGATGACGGAGTCTGTGTGGACGAGGTGGTTTGTGGATTAGGAAGAGGGGTAGCGGATTGAGACTAAACCAGGGGAGGTAGGAGTGGTGAAGATAGCGGTGGTACAGTAGTCGGAAGGTGGGTAACAGACGGAGATAAAACCAGAGGAAGTGAAGGCAGTGAAGATGAGAAGGATGAAGTCAGGGGTGGTGAAGTGGCTGAAGCGGACACAGGGGGGGCAGTCGCAGGTGAGACCCGAAGAAGGGACTCTGCAGGTGGTAATGCAGGCATGGCCACAGATGCCATGGAGGAGCACATCAAGACCGAGGGCAACACAGCTGTCGTGGTGGCCACGGATGCCATGGAGGAACACACCGAAACCAAGGGCGATGCAGCAGCCGTGGTGGTCACGGATGCCATGGAGGAACACACCGGGACCAAGGGCGACACAGTAGCTGCGGGTCGAGTTGCTCTCGCGGAATCAATCGTAGAAGCAGCCAAGGCCGATGGGGAAGAGGCTGCGAACCGAAAAGGGGTAGCCAGGGTCACAAACGACATGGAAGGGGTCATTACGACTGATGAGGACGCAGGTGCAACAAATGCAGGTAATGAAGAAGAGGCTGTGATAGGTGTGACAGGCGCCGGTGATGAAGAAGGGGCTGTGACATGGGTAGTCCGAGGACAGTGTGTGGACACCCGAGAAAGCGGGTGATGGATAGACCATCGAAGCATGTTGCGGAACCAGTTGGAGAGGCGAGTCACGTGGGCAGGGTACCTGTGTTGACGTTTACGAATATAGGAAGTCCATCCTTTCGCAAGCGTTGTTGGAGAGTGCCCGCGAAAAAGCATACGGCATGTGAGCATCGCTGCTGCAGTCTTGAAGTCATACCAGTTATTGCAGACATACTCGAACCTAGTAAGCTGGCCTGTTAACACTCCCGCCGGCTGGTGTGCAGGGACATTAGACGTAGCACTAGGATAACGAATAACAGGGAAATTCCATTCAGCTGCTTTGTCAAAGACACCCATACGCAAGGAACCGTCACAGCGGACTTGGAGACGTGCACCCAAGAATGTGCAAGAGCCATCAGGCGCTGTGGTCTCCTTCCATTCAAGGCCATAATGCTCTGACGGTGGTGGCAGATGTCCCCATGAGAGAACATCATCGATCAAGCGGTATGTGAAGGCATACCGTTGAGCTGCGCGTAGATCACGCTGCTGAAGGTCGTCAACAAACCGAGCCTCATCCCAATACAACGTCAAATTAGCTATCTCCGGACCAGAATTAGTCCCCATCGGGATGCCAATCAACTGATGTCGCAAGGTGCCATCCGCTGCATAAAGATAAGTGTTTGTGACAATGAAATGAAGATGTTCAAGAATTTGGGAAACGGTCAAGGTGTTGGGTCCGGTATCAACCGTCCACTCCCCTTGATCGGGCCCTTTAACAATCATGTTAAGGGTAGGAGGATGTGTGCGCCCCTGTGTGTGTTGTTGTAAGGCATATGTATAGGCTTCCTCAACCGCTTTTGATACAATATGACAGATACGGTCATGAGGAAGATTGGTATACATAGTTGTGAAATCAACAGTGCGAGGAGCATGCTCACGAAGAGAAGATGAATTACGTTTGAGATCAAGCATCACCTCCTCAGCGTTTTGCACGATCCAGCACCGTCTCACACCACTTTGCTGATACAATATATATATATATATATATATATATATAT